CACCAAGACTTTGCTAGAGCCTCAGCTGGCAGGGAAAGGAGGGGAGAACAAAGGTAAAAGGGGGATATCAGCACCCCCGCTCTTAAAAATGTTCCTGTGCCACTGAAGTCACTTTCAGCCGTTAGAGCTCTGAGATGGAACATATTTATTTACTCTGTTAGGATGGCAAATTTCAGCTGGGAAGGGATTGAGTAAGCTCAGTGCAGTTGGCAAATTTCAGCCCAAATAATTAAAGTTTGGCAAAGTTATAAGCAACTGAAAACTGTGTCTTACAATAGAAAGCTTCAGATGACCTTCAGTATAGAAGTTGCTAACTATGTCTCTTCTAATATATCCTTCTTGATTTTGTTCTATTTTAGGCCTGTCCATTAATGGCAGTTAACACATGAGATTAATGCAAAACAAATTGACTAGATTTAAAAAGTAGTTGCAAATAATCTGTTTTAACTGCACTATTAAACAATAATAGAATACTAGTTTACATATATTATAAATATTTGTGGATTTTTTCTATATTTTCTGATGTACTCATTTCAGTTACAACATGGAATACAGAGAGCACAGTGCTTACAGAATATTTTTATTACAAATATTTGCACTGTAATAAAGAAAAAAGAAATATTTTTTCCGTTCACTTCAGACATGCAATCTCTTTACTGTGAAAGTGCAATACATAACTACACTCAGAATCAAAACAATGTAAAACATTAGAGTCTGTAAGTCAAAGCATTAAGGGTCATGTAATACCTTGCAACACCAGCTACAGCAGTGCCATGCAAACACCTGTTCTCATATTCAGGTGACATGAGAAAAAAGAAGCATCTACGTCTCAATCATGCACTTCAAAATACCAATTTGGAGAATTTTTATGGAGGGTCTAAGTTACATCCCCCAACCCCTTTTGTAAAACAACCAGTCACATGGCAGAGATTCCAAATCTAACATGACAGTAGACACGTTATGGCTGTATCCTCTCCTTTGCCACCAGTACATTCTAAATACTTTTGAAATTGAGTTCTGAATGCATTACCCTTTGCTATTGACAACATAACTTTCAAACTCCATCAGGAGCTTGATTGCACACACCCCTCCACACACAATCAATTTCTTGAAAAATCTGCCGATCACTAGGATTGCCAGGTGTCCAGTTTTGAACCGGACAGTCAGGTATTTGAGCTTTCTGTCCAGGAAACAAATTGAGAAAATACCGGACATTTATTTGTCCAGTATTTTCTAATAAGTTTTATTATCATGAGTATCAGTATGTAGTTGTGTACTGCCTGACTGGTAGATGCGCTCACGCTGCGTGAACGTGTCCACCAGCCAGGCAGTACGCAACTATGCAGTAGAGGAGGGGGTGGGGCCAGGGCAGGATGGAATCCCCGGAGCCAGACTTGCCCGTGTGCCCTGCCGGGACCATGTGTGGGATGGGCAGCACCCCGGAATCTGTGTACATGCGGGCCAGGCAGCCCCGCTCCCCGCCAGCCGGTTCTCCCTCCCCG